AGCTATCCGGGAGCGTGCGGCTGCTCCCAAAATGGCGCCGCATCGCTCCCCCTCTCCTCCTCCACCTGCGGGCGATGTTGCACCCATTTGCGGGGCAGCTGCCTGGGAACGCATAGCCATCCCCACGGCATCCTCCTGGGGCTGTCCATCTTTCTCTCCCCGTGCCTCTAGGCGCGTCGGGGGCTCCAAAATCTCCGGGGAGCATCTCGAGCCACTGGAGTCGTCCTCCCACGTCGCTGTCCTCTTCTGCCGAGTCCCCATCCGGGAGCGAGTAACCGCTCCTGGGGCAGGTCCTGGGGGGTGCACGCATGGTCCCAAGGTAACCGGTGGTGCCGTGGGAATGCCCCAAGGTAACTGGCCGGTAGGGGTAGCGAGGGGGTGTTGGGGGTTCCCCCCCTCCTCCTCCTGTCTCCCCCAAGGCCTACGGGTACGGGTACTCCATGCCCTTAAAGCCAGATGTGCTTGGCGTAGGTCCACATGTCTATTAATGGAATGTTCCCCCGACAACCAGGCCTCCTTTAGGAGTCTGCCACCCTTGGTGCTGTCCCCAGCAATCACGTGCACGTTGTCCAGGTCAAACTTATGGCCGGTCTCCATCATGTGCACCCATAGTTGGGAATGCGGCTCTCTCCTCTTTATGGCGAGCCTATGTTCATGGACCCTCGTTCCAACTCTTTTTGAAGTTTCTCCCACGTAATTAGCAGAGCACTCGTTGCACTTGATTAACAATAATACTGAAGACAGACGAATGACTCCTGGGTACATCCATGGTAGGAAACACGACGTGAACACCAGGAGGTTGTAAAACAGTTAAAAGTTTTAATAAAACATTAAAAACCTTTAAAAGAATATTAAAAAGGACCTAGCTTTCATTGGATCCTACCAACATCGTCAGGGTACAGAACAACTCAATGGGAGAAACCATTTATAGGCCAGCCAACGCCTGCGCCTGGGCCCTAGATCTCGTGACGGGTCCTGGGTAACCAATCGATGTATCGCCCTCATCGCTCTCTTTAACTATCCTTGCATTACCACTCACACCCCCATTCCTTCGTGTCCGTGCACCATGAGGGCGCCTAGCCTCACCCGGCACACACATGCCATCCAGTTGTCCCTTCTTCTGCTCCTTGGGATGCCCCCTACGGCCCTCCAGGGCTCCACTACAGGTATAACATCCTTGACTCCGTCCCCAAGTCCCTCTTTCCGTTCTACTCCCATAGGGTCATCATTGTCAGTACCATTCACCGCACTCATCCCCTTCTTTCCCACCTCCTCCATCCCATAATCAACCCCATTCCACAATGTTAGTTGTGCGGCCGTATAAACGTTGGACATGCACAGAGGCTGCTTCTGCATTCCATTCGATCGTCCTCTCTCCTTATTTTCCTCCATCTGGTTCAACTTGGGCTGCAATCCAGGAGCCAACACTTGCTGCGTGACCATATACGCATTGGGCGCGCACTGAGGCTGCTTCCGTGCCCCATTAGATCGTCCCCTCTCCTTATTTACCCCCGTCCAATTCGGCTCGGGCTGTAACTCAGAGGCCACCTCCCCACCCTCCATTTCGCCGATGCTAAGTGCATGCGGGGGTGGGAGCTCCCGCGCTCCATCCAGTCGATCTCCCTTGCCATTTTCTCCCATCAGGCTCCACCTGGCTCGCAACTCCAGAGTCGCCCTCCTATCCTCCGTCCCACCTTGAGACAACTCTCAGGCACACACAGCCACCTCCAGCCGAGGGAGTCCCGGGCTGCCTTTCTTCCATGCGCCTCCCAGTGGGGAAACCCCCTTTGGGCACAGCAGGTGGATCGGGTACAGTGGGGATTCGGATCATCGTATTGTTCCGTCCTCGTTCTTATGCCTCGTCTCCCACGCTCCCCACACGCGAGGTTGCACCCCTGATGTGTGACTGCAAGGGTCCACGGTCATAGCGGTCCCAACGGTGGTGGAGTCGGCGCAACCCTCCAAACAGCAACCGCACTGCACCCCCAGTCGCACGCTCTCCTTTGCTTCCCCCAAACTCCTCTCATGATCCCCCAAACTCCTCTCATGATCTTCAAATCAATAAACTGTGAGCACCAGGAGTATGATAAACTAAAAAAGTTTAATAACACAAATACACACCAAGCTTTCGTCGGAATCCTTCCGACATCGTCAGGGCTAAATGCCAGTCCATGGGAGAGTCCCTTTATAGGCAACACGTCGTCTGCACCCGGCTCCTGGATCTTGTCACCGGTCCCAACTGATTGGGCTGCACCTTAATTATAGCCTTCGTGCCAGTGACTAATCTTTTCTTGCCTCCCTTGCCTACGTGTGTGATGTTGCTAACTATCTCTGCCTGTGGCCTTGGGTCCGGTGAGCTCCCTCCCCCCCTTTTTTGGTCACTCAGACTCTCCGTGCCCCTCAATTCCTCCCCCTTCTCATCCTCCTTCCTTCCCTGCGTTGGTGGTCTTGCTACACCCTGTTCCTTGCCCCCCTCCTCTTTTCCACACCCATCACCTACAGGCCAGTTGTTATCTCTCGTTCCATGGGGCCACTTTACCACCCTCTCAACCACTCCCTTGACTTCCATCCTCCTCTCTTCTACCTACTCACAGCTCTCACTTCTCACGTTGTTGTCCCGTAAAATGTTTATTAAACATTTTCCTTACTATAAAATACAAACAGAAATAAAGACAGTCGGAAAACAGGGAAGGGGATATAATGCTTTTTATCACTGAATTGTTCTGGCAGCTTAAGATTGCTAGATCTTTTGTTCACACATTGCGCACTATCCAGGGTGCACCACAGGGGACGAGCTAGCTTTGCACCAATGGGCTAGTGGCGTTTGGAGGATGTCCACTGGAAACAAAGATAGCTGTCCCACTGGAGGGGTACCTATTTATCTGCTTACATTTTCACATGCTAGGTGGGCAGGAACTGGAGCAAGGACGGGAACTCACTCCGTCAGGCAGCGCCGAGGACTTGAACCGCCAGGATGCCCTCTATCGCTAGCTGACAAATCCAGTGTCTTTAAGCCATTGCGCCACTACGCCCCCTAAAGTGAAACTGTCAAAGTGTAGTAAAACAAATGCAGGTACAATATTGCCTTGGCAGATCCACAGTTTGTAGGAAATTCAAATTCAAATTTATTTGATTTATATACCGCCCTTCTCCCTTGCGGGACTCAGGGCGGTGAACAGGCACATTAATAAACAGCAATACCATAATATTTAAAAATATTCAAAACTAATTAAATTATTTGTCCTGTCCTAAAACCCACTATAATAATATAAAATTATACCCAATTTAAAATTGTAAAGTTTCAGATTTATGCCAGACCGGCCTCTTGGAACAGATAGGTCTTTAGGGCTCGGCGGAAGAGGCGTATGTCCCCCATTGTACAGAGGTCAGGGGGCAGCTCATTCCATAGGGTAGGAGCTGCCACAGAGAAGGCTCTCCCCCTGGGGGTCACCAGCCGGCATTGTCCGGCCGACGGCACCCTGAGGAGGCCTAATCTGT